TCTTTTCCAGCTGGACCCACAATGAAGACAGGCAAAAAAAAATTAAAATAAAATAAAAAAAATTGGGAGGCCCCTTTGGTTGGAGATGGGAGAGAGATCTCTGCATATATCAAAGGGCAGCAGCAAGCAGAAACCGAGTGGAGGATAAGGATAATATCGAAACTACTCCAGGAAGACCAGCGCAGGGCTGGAGGGTGTCTAGACTGGAGAAGAGTCATATATGAAAGCAATTATATGAACAGTCGTCTATATGAATAGTCATATATTAAATATATAGACATTCATATATAAAAGTCATATATGAAAGCAATTCCCTTCTCCATGCTCCTCTCCATGCAGTTCCTGGTAAAAGGCACTTGCCAGTCAGATGCACATAGAGGAGAAAATCCGGATCTCGTTGCTAAGTTGTGAAACGTTGGACAAGGAAACTTCTGCTTCCCGTCAAGCATGCAGGATTGTTTTTTCTTTAATTTTAATAAAGCATAAAAACATATAAAGTGAATCCCTGAGGTCCTCGCTTAGGTGGGAAATCAATGGAAAGTTTGGAGAGAGAAGACGCAATATGGTAGAGTAAGGAGCTCATGGTTTAACCCAATTTAGAAATACACACCCAGCTTCAAAGGGGAAAATATATTGGAAAAGACAAACCCTTATGATTTAAGATGTAAGCAGAGCTTGAGGAGATTGAAAAGTCAGCTTTAGGAAAGATTTTGAGATAAAATGTGTCCAACTTGCTCTGCTTGTGTTCATACATGAGTCATGAACATAGGGCTGGATTTCTCCCTGGTGCAAGTGTGCTGCAGTCATAACAGGGATGCCTTTGATGAATGGTATCCAGTTTAATTAGTGCGTTCATTCAGGGAAGTATTGGTTTGTGTTATTGCACCGAAAATCAAAATGAATATAGAGCTAGCAGCAGATCATACAGTATAAACAACCATTGGCTTCTTTAAACAAAACACTTACTGCCTGGAGAAGGCTTCAGCTGTAAGGCTGGGTTTTGGTTGCAGTCGTGTTCAGCTGTAAAGCAGAATTTTCAGAAGGCCTGAAAAAATTTTTAAAAACTAAGGGAAAAGAGAGAAGAAAAACCATATTGTTTTCTAGGGTTGGGTGGTTTTAGAGATGATAGCTGAAATACCTGCTACTCACACATTCATTTCTCCTCATGGTATACATACAGAATAGGCATACAGACTGGCTGCACATTCATCTGATTTTTCCATAAGACTCTGGAGAATCAGTGCATCCTGAATTAGTGTTAATATAGTCCAAAGGCTACTCAGCTTTCAGACACAGGTAGCTCCCTTTGGCCCAGTATCAGCTTCCTTCAACCGGTAAAGAGCCTTACAAGGTGTGATGGGTCAGGGCTCTTCTGCAACTAGTTGAACTACTACTGCTCTCAATCCGGGTATTATTTGCCTATTGGAATTAAACCTCTACTGCAAACTTGCAGAAGTGGGAGAGGAAGGGTTGGGCTTTCTGGTCATTTGTAACTGGGTTTTTGGCTATTTCTATTGGGTTTGTGTGGGGCAGGGAGGGTATAAGGAGAATTTGCATCCCATTTTGTGTTTCATTCAGAAAATGCATACACACTGTTATGCTACGGAGGTCCCACCTTAGTGCACAATTGTATAAAAATGTATACTTGGATACTTCTGTGTATCCAGTTAAATGGTGGATAAAATATGGGGCACTTTTACCATCACCATCTGCAATGTAATTCAGATGGGTAGAGGCCTCATCAACAACTCATTTTGCAAGTCCAAAAAAAGTGACCCTGGCACATATTCTTAAATATACAAGCCCTGGATTGGCAGTTTAGATTCGGAGGCTATTAATTATTCAAAAGAAAAACTGCATGCTCTCCAGAAAAATTAATGTCCAGCCACTGAACAGAAGTATTAATTGAGATTTGAAGTATTCAGTCTTGGGTGATAAAGGAAAAAAAAAGTTATACTCATCCTCAAATGAACTGAGAAGGGTTGTGGGGCTTAATTGTTATGAAAAGATGAATCACATAATGATGATAGCTGAGTTTATGGTAATTGTAGTAAATGTATACACACTCGCATTGTGTGTCTAGTATTATTAATCATAGTTATTATGGTAATGCCTAAAGGCCAATAGAGACTGGGGATCCCACTGTGCTAGGCACTGTACAAGTAGAGTTACATTTCTATATATAATCTTCAGTTAGTGTTTTAAACTCAAGTCATGGCATTTCAACATACAGTACATTTATTTTATGCATTGCCAGCAATACTAGTGTAGCGTAAAACACTTATTTTATGGTATACTGGGTATGCTGGAAAGTTGCATGAATCCACTAACTCCAGGTCAGTAAGAGAGTTTAAAAGCTTCCATGATCAGCCTGCAACTGACCTTTTAACTCTCGAATGAAATATGCTTTTATGAACACGAGCTATCCTGCAAATTAAAAAAAAAAATCTAAACTTGTTGGGGTGAAAAGCTGGATTGGAGAAAATACCTTGAAAAAAAAACAACAAAAAAACCTGCACTCTTATTTTAAATACTTCAAGCATTTTTTTTAAAGAATAAAGGATACCAGGATCCTTCAGCCCTGCTGTAGAGAAAATTATTTCATTTCCAAAGACAATGTCCATCACAGCATTAAAACATTTTGTTCCTTGCAACCACTGCAAGAAGCTATTAACAGAAGTTTATGAGAGAGGGTCTGGAACTGAAGAGCAACATTCAGAGCAAAAGAGTCTAGTAAACCCATTGATTACTAGACATTAATCATTTGATCCATGAAGAGAGGTGATGTGATAATTAACTGTCAAATCAGGTTGGGTAATTTCCCCATTATTTCTGAGTGATGGAAGAGTTCATCCTAGCAAGCCTGCTGATTTTTAAATAACATTATTAATAATAACAATAATAACAAACAGAGAATTATTGACATCCCTGGTTTTGCTAAGCCTCTAGGATGGGAAATAATGCCAAGGTCCCCAGCCAGCATTGTAGCATCCCAAACTAGTAATAGGCTGGTACTAGGATAAACCATGCCAACTTGTGTAGTTTGTCAAGGTGAAGAAAGAGCCCATGAGGGGAAGATGAACATATGAGACAGAGTGCTTACAGATTAAAGATATGACGGGTCAGTTGGTTTGGGTTTTTTACTTCTTGTCTTCCTTCTCTATTCTATTTATTCACTTTACTGCAACACCTCCTAGAATAGCCAAATCTGAAGGACCTATTGTACAAGGATCTGTTGACTATACCTTGACTACAGAGAGCTCAGATTTTTATTTGATTTTTTTTATCCACTGGGTTTCTCTGGGACAACGTATCAGAGGTGCTATTTATCTTTTAGACTTGATGCAAAACTGGTGTTCTGACTCTGTCCACCTTCAGTCATTATCCCGTGAACATGTTCCAATAATAGAGATGTTAAATTAACCTTGCATCACTGGCAAAAATATATTTTTTAAGTAATTTCCCGTCCTACTTTTCTCAAAGCCAAATAATTCCACTAAGATTGAATTGAAGAGAGGAAAAAACCTTCAGACCAAACTAGAAAATGTATCAGCCATTAATATAATCCATCCATCCACTTGGAAAGCCATTAAATCCATGCGGCTATATTGAGTTATACCAGCTCTCCTGAGGATAGAATTTGGCCTCCATTTCTAGCCCTGAATGAGTGTCACTAGTCCAGAACTGAACATTGCCTACTCTTTATCTCATACCAGCATCACTTTGATCAGGATCATTGCAATGTTGGGAAGAGACAAAAAGAAAAGGTTACTGCGGCAGTTATGTTTTTTAAAATGAAAACACTTTGAAGGTGTTCAGTGTTTTGGAATCGCCAGATTCAATCTAGGAAGACAGCTTAGTAGTCAGGGCTTTGGTGAGGCACTGGAAGTTATCAGATGCCCTAACTATTTCCAAAACTTTCACATGGCTACCACTGCTCCATGGGGGTCTATATAAAAATAAGCATACACACATGAATAAACACATGCACGGACATGTGTAGCAGTGTGCATGTACACACACATATACACACACTTAAAAAAAAAATCAGAATGTATTATTAGACACTGTGCAAGACCAATTGAGATGCCATGTTTTATTCATTTCTTAAAACAGGAAACACCTCTGGTAGGTTTTTGGCTCTTTTGGGCAAATTCTGACCACTGTACCATGCAAATGAAGTGTGTGTGTGTGTGCGCACGTGTGCATGCATGCATGTGTGTGTGTCCGCGTGTGTGCAATACTCATAGATGTCACAGTTCATTCCCCACAGTCTGCACAATGCAGTTGGCCACTAGCTGTCTGTGGACTGAAATTAGATTTCCATCCTTCTTCCTTTCTAACAACAGGAAGCAGCAGAAGCTTCAGCGTTACAGCCTTATAGTGAGGGCTGGGGATTTTAAATATAGTCCTGAGAAATAAAATGCCACATTTTTAGCATCCTGGGCATCCAGATTAGAAAGGCAGCCATCATAATGTGGTCTTTTGTGACTGATGCAAAGGGCTCTAAATTGAAGACACGTATTTCAACCCAAGAAACAAGCTAAGATTTTTTCTCTGTAGAATGTAGGGTAAAGGAACACAGACTTGTGGGGTAAAATACCTCATTATTTTAAGAACACATGTTTACGTAAATGGGATACTTAATCTTATATCTGGCAGACCAGCGTGTCTTGTAAAAAGCCATTCTTGCCTCAAAGAACTAACCCCCGTGGTAAAATTCCTTGTAGTAGCACCTGTCCACTAACTTTAACACTTTTTTATTTTCACCCATTAGGGTCACAAGCCCTTAGAAGAGAAGGTTTCTTATGCCCTGTGTATGAACCCATGACCACAGATTGGCCCTTGAATATAATATTCCTCCAACTGTAGTTTGCTGGAGAAAAAAAAAAGAAAGAGTGGGTTTTCTGCTCAAAGGGGAAAAAAAGGAAAGAAAAAAAGAATGGCATTCGGAAAAAAGGACAACCCTGTCAAAACATGACAGCTGATCCGCTGCCTGTTTTATGCTATTCATAGAAAATGCCAAATTCTGCAAATAGTAACCACATGTACATCGGCTTCGCAGACTCAATGTTCTGCTGCAAAATGAGACATTCTGTATTTTAGTGTGTCATCAAAGGCGGCGAAAATATCACTCCAGCCTTCTAGGCTTAACCCTCTGGTCTCTCAACTGTTAAAAGTTTAATTCGACGGTGATGGGAGAGAAAAGCAATGCATCCAGCTTTGCGAGCGGTGTTAACGGAGCTGCCTAATGTATGCCAGTTGCACATAAAGTCAATTAACAAATCTGTTACCGCGCCATTTTTATTCATAGCCATGAGACCATTAAAGCGACAAGACTACATCTGACGTTTATGATCTTGTTCGCATTGCCAAAGGAGGGGGGGGGGGGGGGATGGGAAAAAAAAAACAACTTAGTGGCTCTCTAGCATGAGAGAAATAGCACCATTCAGAGACATAAGGGCTCTTGAGCAAATGCTGGAGCTTCTGAAGTCTTTTTCTCAGCTGAGTTTCTCCATTCCCCCCACCCCGTCTTTCTTCTCCTTACCCCCTTGCTTGTGCCTTTCAGGTTTCATTTCAATGCAGAAAGATTGGCTTTTTAGTTCAAAACTATAATGTAATTGTCCTTTTTTGTGCCTGCCTGATATTCCCTTTCACTAGCATTTAAAAGAGTACTTATGCCGAATTGAATATGGGATGGGAACAGCTCCTGGTGCTTTTGTGTGGAGCAGGGCAGGCTGTGCGAAGCTCAGCTTGAGCCTCGGCTGGCTATGTTCTTGCCCAGGAATGCTTCCAAGACCTTCTAAGTGACCACTAGCTCTGAATAGGGTCTCCTGTTTAATCTTCTCCTCCTTAACAAATAGTCTTTGCAAGAGCTACAGTAAATCTCTTTTGCTCTGGAAGTGCCAGCTCTTGGACATTTCTACCCTTTCCGCCTTGGGATTTCTAAGGCTTTCCACCCTCTGTTGGTGATCTTCTTCTGCCTGACAACTCTTTAGTGTTTTCACTGGAAGATAAATGTCCTATGTAATACTCTGAGACTTCCTTGTGTGTCCCCGGTTCTGTAGACTGCTTTCCAACTGGTCACCTCTATGGTATGCATTTGATATCGCCAACTGACATATCACTTCTGTGGCACTTTGCTGTTTTCAGAAATGAACAAAGGGACCTTTAGGAAAGCACAGGAGCTCTTGGCTTGAGAAAGACGGGACTTTTCGTGCACTGGCTGTCCCTTGTTTGAGCTCAGGCTCAGTTCCCAGGTGCAGGCCTGATGAGACGGGTGCTGAGGACACGAGGATTTATTGCTGGGAGGACCTTGTTTAACTTCACGAAATCAAAAAGGCACATGTGTGGAAGAGATGGCAGGCAGCATCTTAACAAAAGGTCATTGGTGGTCCTGCCAAGTATTGCATATTTATCCTATCTAGCCCTAGTAATCCTAGGGTGGCCTTCGGTTATGTCAGAGAACTGGTAATCAACACAGTCTGGTTTCATAATTGTGACCCTAATTCTGGCTGGTTTGGGAGAAGTCACTTAGCATTTTTCTGTCTCAGTTTACCGTGTGTGTGAAATGGTTTTTATAATATCTGCATTTTGTGTTAGGAGGTTTAATCAGCTGCCCATGAAGCACTTGGAATTCCTGAGATGAGACCATCATCATTATAATAATAATCATGATTGTTATTATTGTTGCTGAATTCTGAAAATCATCCACACCAGTGAGACTGCTATATAGCATTTCCAGTGACATTGTTGTCTTCCCGAGAGTCAGGTTATGGCTATGTACCTGCACGGTATTTATGGAAGGCAGAATTCCAGATGGAGCTTTTCTGGGAAGTATGAGATTCACGATAGTTAAGGGAAAGATCACTAAAGACCAAACAGTTGACTAATGTACGACCTCCCAAATATGAAGCAAAAAGTTTATTAAAGGTCCATTCTAGGGCTGCGAGAAGCTTTGGTTGCCAATTTGATTCGGTGGAGATTCAGCTTGATCTGGGCCGAATTTCTTCTGAATCAAATTGGGAGACCCATTAAAAGGTCTGAATCGATTTGAAGCATCCGAATTGATTCGGAAAGGATTCAGAAAAGATTTGGAGATTCAGATTGGCTGGAGAAAGGTAGGCACAGCTGGGCAGCTGCAGGTTCTCCTACAGCTCCTCCACCTGTGCCTGCCTCTCCTCAGGTGGGGGGAGCCATGAGCTAAGCCCCCATGGATGCTCTGCCCAGAGGCCCTGATCACCACTGCTGCAGCCAGTGAGTGCGGACCTTTTTTTTTTATTTTTTATTTTTAAAGTGCTGGCAGCCATGGGGGCTTCTTCCATGGCTCCCCCCACCCAGAGAGAGGCAGGCACAGTGGAGGAGCCACAGGAGAATCTGCAGCCGCCCACCTGCCTGTGCCTGCCTCTCCCCAGCTGATCTAAATCTCTCTCAATCATTGCCGAAACTTTCAAAGCTGATTCAGCTGAATTGAATGGGGATTCGAATCACTGCCCTCTGAATTGGCTGAATCTGAATCGAATACTTCCCTATTCGCACAGGCCTAGTAAGTTCTCATATTGGCAAGAACAATTGTGGTGGCTGAGACTGTATAATTCCAACACTTGATACTGGAAGTCTCATGGCTAAATTCCTCATCAGCTCATGGGATGCCTATACTGGCTTGCACAGAGCAGGAAGAAGACAATGGTCTAACCTTATAGTTGTATAGGTGTCTGAAATCAAAATCCTTACAGATATTTCAGCATCTAATACCCACAGAAAGGATCCCTTTCAGAGTCTGGACCTTACTGTATTGTAAGTTTTAAAGCCCTTTGGGACCCTCCTGCAAAAGGTTCTACAGAAATGTGCATGTAAGCCAGGGGCAGGCAATTTTTTCGGGCAGAGAGCCGCTTACTGAGTTTTGGCAAGCCATTGAGGGCCAGGTGACAGGCAGCCAGGGGCAGATAAATATTAATTTTCTAAATTTTTTAGAGTCCCTGCGGGTCAGATAGAATGGCCTGGCGGGCCGCATCTGGCCCACGAGCCGCATTTTGCCCACCCCTCACATAAGCACACAAAAAGAAAGAGAAAGAGGAGCATCTTTCCTTTTCTTCTTCTTTTCTTTTTTAGTTACTCACTATTTTATTGCTGTTGCTCCTAAAAAATCACAAAGCTTTTATAGAAGAGTTGTTAAGACCCATGTGTCCTAGTGCCTGACCCAAGATGGCTGCATCACATTGGGTCAGGACTGGGTGTTTTTTCAATCAGTCCCACACTGCCCTTCAGCCACAGAGAGAAAATAAATCCTACCAGAGCAAGAGCAGAGAGCTTATGCCAACATTCTTCCATAGAGAAATGGGCAGCAGGCGAGATCCTGCAGCTGGTGTGCTTGCAGTACAGAACACCAGGGCCTTGAACTTTTCCCCTCTTCCAGTTCTTTTCCTGGACTTAATTTTTTTTCTCTTCTCTTCTTCCCATCTTCCCCCCAGAGCATCTGAGAGAGGAAGCAAAATTTATACCAGTGTGCCCTTAAAATGCTGACATTCCATGTTTACAGGGATTGTTTACACAGAAAATTAATCAGTTACGGTTTTAAATTTTAATTAAAGAATGCTTTCCAGTGTTATTGCAAAACAGACAAAAGCCCATAAAATGTATATTTGACTGCTGTGCTGTGTTATCTTTGGATCGGCAAGCAGACTTGAGATCAATCATGCGTGGTATTTTTTGAACTTTTTTTTTTTTTAAACACAACACTCTTCACATAAGTTACATTATTTTTTAAAAACACCCTTCAAAATAAAAGCCAGGCTGCACTGCAACATGGAATGCTTCCTTCCTGTATTTACCTTTAAGACCAGAGGTGAAATCTTTCTGGTGAGGCAGGCAAAAGGGTATTTTCAGCCATTATAAAACTGCAAGCACAGTCACAGCTTTCCCACTAGGGCCCCAAATTTGCTTCCTTTTACGTTGAATGGTGTGACTGCAATGGGAGTGGTTACTACTCAGTATAGGTCTCTACAGCTGGGGTGTCTACTTTGGAAATTCAGGGTTGACAGCTCCTCCTTATTGGTCTCATGACCAATCACACAGCCTCAAGATCCCGTCTGTGTTTTTCCATTCATCCCAGGTCTTCTTCTCTATAGCATTTATCCTTGGACTCTCCATGACCCTGAAAGATGCTGGTTGCAAAAGACTTACCTAAATTCCAAGGTATTAAAATCCTTAGGAAAAGGTACCATGTGATCTGATTAATACTTATTTGCTTATCCATTCATTTGAGTATCTGAACTATTTAAGTCTCTAAAGGTGTCTGTAAGCTCCTATTTATTTGGATAAATACAAATTCACATTCATCGTTTTACTAATCTTTTACTGACACAGACTGCTGAAAAGTTTCCTTCTACCTACAGCAGTCTCTCTTAAAAAAAACAGAAAATTTAGCTTTACTTGGATTTGACTTGCCTAATAAATATGTTTAGTCAACCTCCACACTGTCAAGTCCACAGGTATAAATACCTAGGGGTTGCAAGCCATCGCTCTACCTACCAATCTATCAAGACAGGCAGACAGTTTTGCCTTTTGAGGTCCCAATACTGCAAAAGGTAACACCTGCAAAGCCAAAATCATTATACTACCCAGTTGTCATACCAGGGATGTACTGATGGATCTGCCATATCAGACTAGATGATTGGCCATTTTCATATTGTCCTGCCAATATTAATAATTAGCACGTGAGAGAACAGATGAAGAGCAAACTATCCCACCTTGTTTGCAGGAATTGTAATCCATAATTCTTCCATTTGTGCAACACTGTGGCGAAGAGGGAAAAGTATTTCCAAACCTGCATACTCATGCATGCCATGAAGAACGATGATTCAGATATTTCCAAATATAATGATATTCGTATATAAGGAAAAGGTGAAAAATGCTATACAATGATACCCATGGAAAGGGGGGGAGAGGGATGGAAATCACACAAATCATCAGTTAAGCATGATCAGCAGTAACGAACTTGTTTTCAGAATATATTTTGTGTTGGAAATAGCCTTGCTTTTCCAGGCTTCCTATTGTCTACCAAGGGGCTGCAGACAGATAGTTACACCCCCAATGTTATATTGCCTTTTGACATAGAAGATCCTCCAAAGGTTCAGACGTTTGTTTTGATACAGATAACACAAATCTCAGGATGTTTGTTTGACCTGCATCCAAAATATTTCAGTCTCTGTGGTGTATAAGACTGTCCTGGAAACCTTGCCAGAAGGATGAAGGAATTGTGGTATGAAAGTCAGTAGTACAGTGAAGAAAGTATTTGGACAAGCACAAAAAATATCTTCTGTTAGTAGAGATGTGCTTGAACAAGGAGCAATATGTATTAACTGTCATGTTTCTACTTCCAGGCGGGGACGCAGAACCTTCACTTTGTAGTCTGGGTTTAAAGACTACAGGGACCATTGTGATAATCTACTATGGTATAACACAAGACACATGATTTTCCTGAATTAATTCTGGCTTCATGTCTACTAGCTCACTTTAACCTGAAGCTATATTAATCTTCACATTTGGCCATATCTGGCTATAGATACCACATCCCTTGGTAAAAGTTGGTGCAATGGTTAATTATGCTCCCTGCTAAAAATGCATATTTCTATTCACAGCCTGTCTAGCTACAGTTTCTTTGCTAAAGAGTCTTTATGATCAGTTCTTGCTCTCTTCATGTAGGTACTCTAACAGGGTTCCAAGATGATTAGACATGTTGTGGTTTTTGAACTTTAATAGAAGTTTAAGTAGTTTCCAGTCATCAATTTTTTAATTTTGATTTCACCCAACTGAATTTTTCAGTTTTGCAAAATTCACCTTTTAAGGAACCAAGTATCTATGCATTTGTGTGATTACAGTATTAACTCAAAGGTTTCTAGCTAAATTATCTCTGAACTTATAATAAACTTCCTAGCGAAGTCCCAGTAGAAAAGAAAAAATGAAGGGCTGAAGAGCCTATGTGTTTGTTGCTCAGTTAAGAAGAAATGACTCCCAGTCACAACCAATGACTGAGGCAACACTACGTGACCAAAAAGCAGAAAGCTCAACTGCTCTTTGCTCCTGAAAATTAGATGCAGCAAGTAATTTCTTTAATGTAGAGAACTTGAAGTTAAGGTGACGTCCATGAAATGCAGAGTTGCTGCTTTCCTGCCCTCAGATATTTTTGGAAACTCCTGTGATTTGGTAGAACTGAATCCATATTTTGAGTTCCAGGTCTACATAATTTCTGACAGCCGTAACTATAGCAGAGTCCAAAGCAAGCTATTGGGTTCAGGTAGACCTCTGACTTTTTTTTGCTTTTCAAAGGAAGACAGAGTGCTACCAGCACCTAACACAAGACACTTTGCAAGTCACACTTGCCTACTGGTCCAGGCTCACCTGAACTTTCTGCATGTTGCAGTAGCCCATCTGTGTCCTTTGGCAGTTATAGTCTTAATGGCTCCAACTCCGTATGAGAAGCATATGAAGTGTTCTTTAACCTTCTGCACAGAAGTCACCTTTGGGACTCTTGGAGACCCAGGTTAAATTCCCTTGGAAACATTTATGACTGGACACTTACAGATATGTCTGACCTTCAATTAATTTATGAAATATTGTCCGTTTCTTTACTGAAATGTCTTCTAAGGCATTTCATGGACAGATAAAATCTTTGGCTATTATTTAGAGGAGTACTCGTGGTAGCAATTGAGCTCATGCACTAAGTGCATTTTTGTGCTAATTAAATATTCCAAACTTTTATCAAGATTATTGTCACCTATTTAATGGTTCATTGAGTTTATGGGCCATGCAAGCCTCTCTTTTATATTTCCAGCAGAATAGTTATAGTGACTACTCTAGTAATGACAAATTAGGGAACACACAGAGGAGATGAAAGAATCTCTATGCATTAGGGCTGATGATCCTCTAACTTGTGCCAGTTTTATGATACTACAGTGGCATTGACTGACATCAATGGATTTACCCTTCATTTACTCTGTAGGTGAGGATTGGGCTCAGAGTACACCTGTATTTCAAAGAGAGTAAATGTTCTTGAATGGCCAAAAATGACAATGGAAAGGGTCCTTTCTATACCAATATTTCCCTCCCTGTGCAGAGACAGTGATGGGTAGGAAAGGATCAGTCCATCTTTACCCTAATTATACCAGTATGGGTAGTCATCCTTTGACTTAAAGAGGATGATAGACATTCCTCAGAAGGGATGATGAACAGCAACTGCTGCAGTAGCAACATTTTAATTATTTGGATATTAGAGAGGACAAAAATAGACAATCACTACCCAGTAATTTCCAAGAACTAGGGCTTGGTAGCAGTAGCTTTTCTGTAACAACAGGCTGGACCACCAACCATCACTAGCTACCTAATTTGATGGAACATGGTCTTGACACCAAAGCTGTTATGGTAGACATATATTCTCCACCAAATTGTTTTGGGAAAACTGGGTCTTACTAATATGCCTACGTTGGAACAGCAATAAAGTATCAATGGACCTCTCATAACTGTTGGATGGAATTTCAAGTAGTTACAAAGGTCTCATTTTGCCTTCTTCACACAGGCAGATTTTACTTTCACTGAATTAATGCTAGTGCCACATGCATTTGGAAAGCAACATTCTCTATACTTGACAGGTGGAAAAAGTGGAGAGCCTTTCCCAACACTGTAGAGGTAGTCTTCAGCAACACTAAGGAGATAATCTCCATTTCCTTACTCATTGGTTCTGTGCCTTAATGGCAAGGCCTCCCTTTCAACCTGGACCTATGACAAAAATCTGCAAAAGACTCCGCCTAGCCTTCTAACTCTCCAGAGTGTATGGACCCAAAATGAAGGACCTGTTCTCTGTTACATATTACTGCTAAGTGAATAGGCAAACCCTTCCCCATCAGGGAGCTGCTCTGCTGGATTCCTTTCATGGACCAGGCATAAAAGTGTGATATTATCACTAGGTTTGTTTAGCTGGTTCCTCCCTGGTCTTATGATCACAGAGAAGAGCAGCAGAGGTCTGTCTGGCAGCTCCATGCAGGGTCCAGCTGTCTGGCACTTCTGCACACAGTTTTTTTTCTGCTTGTTAAGTGACTGCTCTCTATTGATCTTCATGCCCCTTTATGCCTCTTGCCTTCCAGTTTTCCTTTGCACAATTTGCATCATGTAAAATTTTAATGAAAGATTTTAAGAGACAATACATCTGATAAGCAAAAAGCCAGAGCTACAGATCGAAATTATTCTCAAAAAGTACAATGTCAAGAGCAGTGGAGAGAGCCTGGATTTTTGTTCTCTTTCGCAGGGATTTTATTCGCATATTTTACTGTCAGTTCCTTGACATTTTTGTCAGCTTGGATCCGGAGGCCATAGATGCCGCCAGCAGGTCCTACCACATTTTTATTCTCCATTGTATTTGTACGGAATAAATAAAAACAGAACAAGAGTGAAAGCAAGTGAGAGACATGGCGAGAA